TTTTTTTTTTTTTTTCTGTCCTATATACAGTATGTGTAAATCCCTCATTGTTGTCCGCGTTAAGCACGTATTCACTAATGGTAACCGGTAAAAACCAGCTGAAAGAGCGTCAGAATTTTTGGGAATTCTAAGCTTTTTCTACTTAGTTAAATCTTTTTTTTTTAACAAATTTTTTCCAGTCATCTATATTTATGAAAAATCCTACCAGTTTCTTGAATACAATTGATCTACATCTGTTTACCTAAGCCATTAAATAACAAATATGACATCAGTGGTTCAGCTGGCTATACAAGCAGATGTTGTAAACGTCGGTGCGGTATCACTAATCCATTTCCAGCGGTGTGATTATCATCACACTGTGGTGATAATCGACAGTTATGCCCCTCATTGTTACTTACAGTAGACAGTCATACAGCTTTCGAAACGAACAACTAATTGTAGTTGGCAAGTTGCCCAACTTTTTAGGAATGTTGGCATTGTTTCAAGGTTATAGCATCGTATTTTTTTTCCTTTTTTTTTTTTATTAGCCACTGATTCATTAGGCAGAGGCTGAACTGTGATGGTTGTTCCTTTCATAGATGTTGCTAATGTTATTTTTTTTTCTCTTAGCTTATTTGGGTTCACTGTGCAAACAGCTGTCTCTATTTATTCTTTTCTTCCCATCCCAATGCTGTGTTTCATATAATTTTTTTGTATCAGAAGATGTCATTATTATATCTTTTAATTAACTTATCCTTGATTGCTTTACACCTTGAACCAATTACACTGCTTTTATTGACCACAGTTTCTTTTAACTAGATTTGTTTCACTATTGCCTTTTTTCTTGCAGCAGGATGAGGAACAGAATACTCGATTTGAGCGACTGAAATAGTAAATGCACATTTGGTGACTGAAACTCTTGACATGGGTGTGTTTCCATGGTCATCGTCTAGTCGATCCAAGAGGATGTGGGCCAAAGTTAGTACTATGGATGCAGATCTAGACAAAATTGGCGTTGAGGTAATTATATATGCATATATTTTAAAGAGCTTTTTTCTTCTTATGACTTGTTAAATCTTTCTCCTTTAACAGGTCATTTTTTTTTTCTTTTTTGCCTGACACTGCAGAATGCCTGTTGATGTTGTAAAATTTTTTACAATGTTATTTGTTCAAAACATTCTGTCTATGTATAGAGAGAGGTATTTAGGCTGACTGTACTGGCCGACAATTGTTTGATACTGTATGTAGAATAATTGGCCTTCGTGAAATCTGGTACTTTGGCTTACAGTTCAAGAATAAAAAAAATTTTCCATGTTGGCTTCAAATGGAGAAGAAGGTCATTGCGCTTTTTAAGGAAATCTTGATTATATATACACTCAAGATTATTCACTTTTCTTTAAATTATAGGAGTTTTCTGATATCCCCAAAGACACTGAAACATTTCTTTTTTAAAATAATAATTTTTATGAGACCACGGACAATTTATTAGAAGTGATTGTTTAATTATAGTGCTGATACGAGGTTGCTCCTTTTCTTGTTAACTGCAAAATTAACTTTTTATTTTTAGATTAGCAAACAGGACGTGCGAAAAGAACCTGACGGCTCGATCCATTTTCTTTTTCTTGTTAAGTTTTATCCTGAAGATGTTGAGGAAGAGTTGATACAGGATATAACAAGGCATCTGTTTTTTTTGCAAATTAAACAGAGTATTTTATCGATGCATCTGTATTGTCCAGCTGAAGCTTCAGTTCTCTTAGCATCATACGCAGTACAGGCACTGGTTAGCGTTTAGGAGTATCAGTAGCTAAGTGCTACCTACTTTCAATACTTTTGAAAGTTACAATAGCATCAAGAAGGCTTTTCACAGTATTATTATTTGTTGTTGCCATTTCATTCCTCTTTTCTTTTTTTTTGCTCAGCGCGGAGACGTAGATGAAGATTCATCTCTTGAACTTAGCGAGTTGCTGCCCCAGTCTGTCACGACGCAGTATGAAATGACACCGCAGATGTGGACAGATCGAGTGAGAAGGTGGTGGGAGAATAATAAAGGTTTAAGCAGGTAATCGTAGATGGATTTTTTTAAAGAGTTTGTTACTCACTGCTTTGCAGAGTACTGTTGCTTATTACCACTTTTCTGTTTTAAGAGAGGATGCAGAAATGGAGTACCTTAGAGTAGCGCAAGATCTTGAAATGTATGGGATACAGTATTATCCGATATGTGTAAGTACAACAGTTATTAAATTATAATTTTTTAAACAAAAGACGATCATTAAAAATTTGCGAAATTCCTTATTTTTCTTTCAGTTTGAATGCTTTTTCTTACAGTTCTTTGTTCTTAACAATTTTTCTTCTCAGAACAGCAAAGAATCAGACTTACATCTTGGAGTTTCCGCTCAGGGTATCGGAATATATAAGTCTAACAATCGTATAACCCCAAGGCCATTTTTTTCTTGGAATGAAATTAAGAATATTTCTTTCAAAAACAGAGTCGTAGGTTTTAAAGCATTCCAAAAATTTTTCAAGTATAAAATGCTCTAACGAAAAGTTCCTTGTCTTAAATACTGAGTTTCCAGTTTTATATGAGGACGACCGACAAAAGCACGATCAAATTTCGTGCTCAGGATATGTCTATAAATATGAGTATATTAGACCTTTGTATCGGCACACATAATCTCTACCTGAGGAGACGTCAGCCAGATCTTTTAGAAGTGCAACAAATGAAAGTTCAAGCCCAAGAACAAAGGATACGAAGAATGGTTAGTTTCTTGGCTGTTTTTTTGATAGAGGTTGTGTTTCTACTGTGAACGCTTTTACTGTTATAAAAGGTTTCAATAGCACTGTCTTTTGATAATTTTTTTCAAAGATAAATTTGATTAATTTTTCCATTGTAAAGAGTTTTATCATTTTTATTTTCAAGTGTGAAGTTTTTCAGAGTTATCCTATAAGTTTCAGGCTAGGTTTTCAAGTAGAAATTGTAGAAAATGGGTTTTTATGCTTACTCATTTGTGTTCTTGGTTTTTTTGTTACCTTTAATTTGGTTTTTATAGCATGAACAGAACCGTTTCGCGCGAGAGAAAGAAAAAAGATTGCAGGCTGAAACAGAAAGGGATCAATTGAAGAAAGAAATAGAGGCCATCAACAAAAAACTAGACGCAATGAAGGTAAAACGAATGATTTTTTGTGCCACTTCTAAATTGCTTATTCCCACACTGCGGTGGAGTGTTATTTTTCTCATTATTTGATAATTTATTTTTTCCTTGAGAGGTTAACTTAAGATGCGAATTTCCAGGAGAATGTTAAGAGAGCTGAAGACACAGCGCAGGCATTTGCTCAAAAAGCAAGAATATCTTCTAGTGAAGCTATAGCCCTAATGAAACGGTCTAACAATGCAGAGGCCGAGTGTGAAAGACTCAAAACATCCTTGGTTGATGTATGTTTTTGTTTTACTGAGCATTGTAATTATTATATTTTTTAAATTTCAGTTGTGATTTTCCATTTTGCAGGCAGATAAAATGAAAATTTCACTTGAGCAAAAAGTGCGAGATGCTGAGCGCGTAACTCGACGTCTAATCCAAATGTATGGTATGGACTGCCGCAGCCAAGATCCACTGATATACAGTAGTTGCCTCTATAACTCTCCAAACAGCGCTCAGGTTACAAACTTTGTACGAAATAGACTTGTGTGATCACTGTTGACTGATAAAATTGGTTACACTTTTACAGATATGTCAGCCTCCTTATATTTATTCCGATTTACCTTCTTATTCTGACCGTAATCACCACGATGTTAGATCATCCTCTAGCAGTGACGAAGGAACTTATGGGCAATCGCCAGATGACGAACCTGTAAATTTCTCAAGTTATTCGAATCTTGAACTGCCTCTTTCAGCACCATTCTACAACCCAATTTTTAATCCAAATAATCCGCCTCCTGATCCTTCGGTTGACGGACTTATTTCTAACGATGTTATCGCGCTTAGAAATGAAATTGATACGACAAAGTTAGTTGAATTTCAGTTATTTATATGACTCCTTTTTTTGAATCTTTTAGGCATATTTTTGAGTAAAGGAACATTTTGCATCTGTTATTTTCGTGAATGAAACTTTTTCAGTGCCGAATTTAACGAACGTAAAAAAAGGCTAAAAGAGAAGATGAGTGAGTTTCGAGCGGAAATTGAGAGCCTTAAAGTAGAAGAAAGGCAGAGCGAGCACGATCGTATTCATGCCGCAAATGTTAATATGGGGATTGATAAGTATTCGACGCTTCGGAAGGTATTTTCAGCATTTGATTGTCTTATGCGTTTTTTTTTTTTAAATTTCTATATAGTGTAGCTATTTTCAAACTTTTCAAAACTAAAACAGATTCGTTGGTTGAAGTTTACTGCAATTAGAGGATGTTTATTTGCTACGTTTTTAGAACTTAGAATTTTATTTTTAATGTTTTGTCACCGAAATGTTTTTTTAAGTCAGATGATGACTTATCAGTTTCCGTCATTAAAAAGGTATTTTTAAGTTTGTAATGCCTTTTAACCTTACACATTAATTTTAGTTCATTTTTTATTTCAAAAATGTGACTTGCTGTTTATTTGTTTACACACTGACTCGTAGTAGTATTAGCGTCAGGGTGTTGTTTTTAAAAGTCTGAAGCGCCTAATAATGCATTTGGATTGCTATTTGTAATGCGTGACTCAACATGTTTTTTTTTATTTAAAAATAATTTTCAGTTTCCTAATCATTTCTGGACATGTATGGCTTTTTAACAATTAATTTATTGTCAGTTTTTTGAATCTAAAACTAACATCGAAAGTTGGATATACGTTTTACACGATATTGCTTTAATGCGACTGAATATCTGGTTTTAGAGTGGTGCTGGTTCTACGAAATCTCGAGTTCAAGTGTTTGATGGACTTTAGATGGAGACAAAATGCTATCCACACTTTTGGTACAGTTGTTTACTACACTTTAGAAATATATAAGATTTTTTAAAATTTTTATAAAATTAATGGTTTCTTAGGATTATTGTATTGATTTTCAAATCTTTGATTACATTCAGTGATTTTTTAGGCCGTCAGTCTTCTCCAAACAACCGCCCTTGATCTTGTTTAGTTTCTGATGCTTTTGAAACAGTAATTTTTGAATACTACCTAGTTTGTTTATAAATAGTCTCTACGATTGTAGTTGAGATTCTTGCTGGGCAAGAATTTATTATTGGAAAAGTTGCATTATATATTCCTCCTCCCCTCCTCGACAAATATATCGCTTTAACTTGAACTGTCAGTTTGTCAGGAAAGTTCACGCTTTTTATTTGCATTTGATGCAGCCAATGCGTTTACTTCTTACGAATGTATCCTTTAATGTCATTACTTTTTTTGTCACGGAAGTTTGGGTATTTTTTAAAATTTAAATTGCGCGCGTAGTGTTCAGTTTCTGCAGTTTAACTGAAAAAGTTGTTACTGATCAAACAAAAGGAATGATCAAGTTTGAAATTAAAATTTGTTTTTGAAATTGCATTTATAAAAGGTTACAAATTCAAACTTTTGAGAAATTCTTAAAGTGTTGGAGTTTTATCTTGTAACATCTGTCTTATTTTCTTCTTTCTTCTCGACAGTTTTAAACTGTTCACTTATCATTAGACTTCAAGCGTAATTTTATACCGAACAAATAGAGTTTTTAAAGCTGAATTTAAAATTTAAGCTGGGGTCTTTATTTGCAAATAGAGAAGGAAAGAATTGATCAGTTATTTTTCTTGAAACTTATCTTTTTATTTTTCTCATCTTTTCAAGTTTAGGTTCTGATGATGTCGTTGTTTCCGTGTTTCTACTTTTTGCATTTCGACTACTAATAATCTTTTTTTTGTTTTTCTTGATTTCTTTTTTTTTTTTTTCGGATTTTTGTATCTGCATTTTGTATTCATAATGTTTAATTTCAAACCTCTGTCGAAATTAAAATTAAGAAAAATTTAAGTGTATTTAATGATCTTGCAACTATTGATTCTTTGATACTTTTGGTTTTTCTGTATGAAATATGAAACTTAAGTCAGAAAAGACAGTTATTTATTCCAGTACAAATTGACTTGCATGACCTGATATTCTCATAAATTCAGAGGTGCCTTATACATTCAACGAGTTGAAATGACACCGCCTTTTCTTTATTGTCTTCTTTCATGACTCTCAACTTTACGCCTCATAAGAGATGTATGTAACAAAGTTTATAGCTTTTTATTTGTTAGATTTTACTATTTCTTTCTTTCACCACTCAGGTACATCTAGTTGCTATATACATCCTTATTAACCAGTGTTTTGTTCCAACATGTGTTTTGCGGGTCGTTTTTGCAAATGTGATTGATGCTTCTGTTTAGGTGCTGTTATGATTGGCCTGTGTACATATGATTAAAGTTTTGGTTAACTAATACTGATTCTTAGTTTGGGCTGTAATTCTTTTCTATTCATTTGTTTCAGTTTGTGATTATGGTTTTGAATTTCTCTTTGTAGACGAAAGGAATTTGATTGTTTGTGCAGACGACAAACTTCTTATGAGTTTTTATCAGTTCCTCTATGATGTTAAACTATACAGTTGTAACTTTTGGATTCATATGGTCGCTCTTAAAATTCGATAAAAACTTCTCAGTTTAATTTGCCTGGAAGGTTATCCTACATTTGCCATTCGTAAAAAGAAGTACTTGTCCGTTTGTCAGAAAGGCTCTTCATGATGGCTTTGTGGTACCTGCTTTGAAAACGATTTATTCATTTTTGTCTATCTAACAGTATGGTGAGGTAGTTGAAATATATTTGTCATTCATAAGCTCTTATATAAAGGTTTTCAGCTTGAGTCCAATTATAGTAACCGATATAACTGACCTGGTTGCTTGTGTCTGATTATACCAGTTTGTTGGATGGCGTCGAAATCTAGGGCTGTTCCTGGTGGGTTACCAAAAAAGAGAGTTGAGCAAACCACTGTGCTCTCAGTGCCTGTAAGTTCAAGCAGTATTTATAATCGCTGTAGTGGTGTCAGAAGTGCTTTTTCATTGATACTTCAGAATATATTGTGTTTGATTATGGTTTGCGGTACGCTGGTGGGTTTTTGCTTTTTAATGCGAACTCGTGGTGAGGGAGGTGAACCGGATTGGTCAAATATAGAAGTTTTTCGGTCACGGCTGAAATGAGATTAATTTTTGGAGTTTTAGGAGTTCTATGCACTCGAAGATGCAGAATCTGTTTCTCTGGATTGGGAGAGTATGAAGAGTTCGTTCCTTGAACGTTCAGCGTTGATCAAAAGTCATGTGGATCTTTTAGCTAATCCCGAAATAAGTGTGAGTGTCTTCAGTGTTTGAGTGATTTGAAAGCTTAAGTTTTCGGCGGTTTCATTGTACATTTTCTCGTTTGGTTTGCTTTGAAGTAGTGTTTTAGGCACTGAAATGTGTTAAACTATGGTGCTATGATAATGGTAAATGCTACGTTGGCAGCTTTAAATAAAATTGATAACTGTGGAGAAGAAGAGTTTAGAAAAAGTAAATTTGGTTTTACCGCTATAATGCACTTCGCAGATAAGAATCAGTTTTCTTTAGGAGGCAGATTTGAAAAATAGCGAGGAGATTGTGCTTCATCAGTTAATGCTCTTGCGCCGTTTAAATCGTTTTGCGATGTATCGGAATAGACACGGTCGGGATGTGGCAAGCGAAATGCTCAATGATGTTGACTCAAAATATTTACAACTACAGAATGCAAATAATGAAATTGAGCATATTCGAAAGGAAATTGAACGGTGCTATGAATTCAAGTAAAAACCATTGTTGTTATTGTCATTTAGAAGATAGTAATGTCTGCTTCTAGCTATTTTAATGGCCTTGTCTTGTCGTTTGTAACTTGCACAAGCTTCTTAGTTCTTTCTGTAGGTCCGCTGACGAAGACATCGATTTAGTTCCAATAGAAGAATTTTATGACAAAGCTCCACAAACATTAAGCAGAGAAGAAGTTACGCGCACAGATATGCATGAACAACGTATTGCACGGCTGAACTGGGAGATGGCTGAACGCAAAAAGTGAAATATTGTATTTGTTCACATAATTTAGAATTAATTATTTCTCAGTTTTATCACATCTTTGCTTCAGTTTGGTTGCCACACTACAGGAGCGCGAAGGCCGTAAGAACGTTCTTTTAAGTGATATATCTAAAAAGGAGTATCGTCTAAAATCTTTGAAGCCGAAGATCGAAGCTCTAATAGAAGTTCGCCATGCTACTGGATCAGTTTTTTACTCATTCAGGGTCAAAAAATAAGGTTTCGAACTTTAATTGAGTTTCTTTTAGACCGCTCGCCCGGTTCAAGAGTTGATGTCGTTAAGAACAGCGTCGTCGGTACTGGACAGTCAGCACCCTATATTCAGTTATCTTGCAAAGGAACTAACGGTCGTGGCAGTACAGACTGAAGCATATCGTGATATTGCTGAAGGTAAAGTTTTCGAATTTGTGAAACAACTTTTTCATGTTATAAAGAAATCAGTGAGTAATTTTTTTTATTCATTTTCAGATGACGGTGTTATTGTTGAATGTCAAGGTGACATCGAAAGTGCTGCGAAGTTTTATGAAAATCATTCTCAGCAATCTGCAGAGCCTGAAGATGAAGATAATTATAGTGATACAGTAATATTTTTTTCATCTTTGTCTTACCTAATCAGTTCACAGTCTTCACTTGTTTTGGTTTCAGGCCAATGGAACTGTTTCTCCTGCCCAGTCACTGAAAAGGAGGCGCAGTACAGCTTCAGAAAGAATTACTAGAAAAAAGGATCTTTTGTTAACTGAACATCCGGTATCTTTGGTCATAACAGTTCGTTGCGATGGTACGTTTCTTGTATGCGTTGTAAACAGCTTTTTAAATCAACAATTTTAGATATATTGATAGATTTTGGACAAATAGATTGTTGATGCAGGGTTAGTTTTTATATCAGAGATTTGAACTTTATAATTCTTCGCTTGTTTTTAAAAGTACGTGTAAAGGCTTGCTAATGTTACTGGTTTCGGATACTTTTTCAAGCGTTTTTATCGCTGTTTTAAATTTTTAATGTCGTTTTTATTGTTATTTTCTCTTATTATTATTATTATTATTATTATTATTATTATTATTACTGATTCCGAAAAATCTCAAAATTAATTTATTATTATTGTCATTATTATTATTATTATTATTATTATTATTATTATGATTGTTACTATCACCGTCATTCGACTTAATTTGTTTTCTTTGTAAGGCGACATAAGCGTTTCGCTCCAGCTACGGTTCATGCCGGAGTTATGTTCTATTGCTGCAAAAGCGAAGCTGTCAGGTGCAACATTGCCTTTTTACGGGTTTGTTTTTTCAGAATTTTTGCCATTTCTTTTCTCTGTTCTTAGCATTAAGTACAAGATGACTTGGATCTCGATGAACATTAGCTTTTAAGATTTTTAGGAGCTTGTTGTGTGATGAATCTCTTTTAATTGGCTTGTTTCCTAACGATGATGGAGAAAAATGTTCAGACGTCGTTGGACAGGTTAAACTGGAACATCTAGGGTTAGTTCCGATTTTAAGAGTTATAACTTGATCGTAATTTGTCTTCTTTCTCAATTTTTTAACTCAAGGCTTGTAAACTGATGATGCCAGCATTTTGTTTGAACTTGATGGAAATATTGAGAATTGAATTTTTTTGTTTTAGTATCACTGTTCAAGATTATGAGCCAAAGATTGGGCGATTTTTTAAATTTGCTAGGAGAATGGCAGGAATCGATCAAGGCGATTCAGAAGCCACCTGCCTCTGTGACACTATCCAGTCAGTTATTTCTGAAATTCGTTACCGTGTACGCACTAGAAGTGCACTCATCCGTTGCATCAAAAATCTAAGTATGCCTTTAGTTTTTTAAACCTGATTTCATATTACTTCATGACTCCTTTAAATACTAGAATTGATTGATGAATCAGTACTCTTCTGTTTAGGTTTGTTGAAAGTATTTGAGGAAATGCCAAAAGAATTGCGTAGTCAGTTTCCATCTCGAGTCGTCTCAAGGCTCTCAGAGTTTAGAATGCTCACACCTTCTCAGTTTTTGGTATTTTTTGAAAGTCTTGATAAAACTTTATCATAACATGTAGAGTCTCGATAGAATTATTTATAAGTAGTATTTTAAAAAATTTTTTAGGCCCACGAAGCGGTTACCGAAGATTATAAAAAGCTTCTTACAGCAGAGTCTTCTTCATCATTTGATAATCACTTTTTCTTTAGTGCAACAATAGAACGTAATTCTGCTGTTCTTACTGCACTAATTTATGTGAGTCAAATTTTTTTTTTCAACCTTCACCAATTCAAAGTGAAAAATCGTATCTCCGTGGATTGAAGTCGTTCTTATATATTGTTTTTTGAAGATACCCACGTGTTATCCTAAGTACCGTAAGCCTGTGTATATACTATTCGCTCTTGTGGACGGTGCACTTCTTACAGCTAAGAACTGCTCAGCTTTAAAGGTATATATTTTTGAAAATGTTGCAGTTAATCCAAGATCTTTTCTTAAACTATCGGTAATTGTCATCACTTTAAGGATATCGAGGCTAATATTAATTTGATGCAGTATTCAAATTTTGAATGCAAACAAGAGTTGGAACTTTATGCACAAATGGGATTCTTAATTTCAAGATTTGATTGTTTTTTGGAGATACAGTCACTTCGTGTTCAATCATCTGCTTTTCCTAAAGAACATCTTTATCTAAGAACAGCAAGGTTTG